TTGTTTTTTTTTATTAGAAAACATTGTACGAATTTGTGTTTTTGATAATAATCTGCGTATTGCTCGTCATTATTTACGTGCGTGTTGTCGATTGTAAGTCAGTTGTGATGTAGTGATTTGAATTCACTTTTCTCTAAAGCAAAACTTAGAGTAACTTAAAAAAGATTTAAAAGTAAGTGGTTTCTTTTGTTACAAGCGCATAGAACTGTTTAATATTTGTATACTACTTTATTTTCGACAATAGTTTTTCTTGTTTTTTTTCTGTAAAGATTTAAAGTGACAAGAGTTCTTTTGGAAAAATAAAACTAAGAATTGATCATACTACAGTATAAAAATCGGAAAGATCGAGAAAAAGCAACGCTTATATATATCATACCAACGTGAAAACTAGCAACAAAAAATTGACTCTGGAGAAAGACGACGAGACTGCGACAGAAAAACAGTACAGTATACTACTAAGAAAGAAAACGAGTAGTACATGAGTGATTTACTATGATGTAAAAAGGTAACACATTTTCTAAGATGCTTTCACTAGCAATTTTATGTGCATTTTACATAAGTGCATTTGTACCGAAACTTGTGTAAATCGAAGTTTTTTATTATAGTAGTTCTAAAAAGTTTGTTTTTTTGCATTAAGAAAAACTTTCAAGTGTTGCACCTAGTTTTAACGATTGACAATGAAATGACGTTAGTAATTTAAATAAGTACACAAGTTATATTCATCATTTTTTCTATGTCACAGCTGTAGTATTTCTGCGATCTAACACTTGCGGAAGTATTTATCTAACCATACTTTTTGGGTAAAAAGGGCGTTATTACACGTGAAAACCATGGAGCGTGATTTCCGACATTTTCGACATCTATTACTGTTCTTCTTTGATCAAGCCAAACAATACAGTGACGCTCATGATCTTATGAGAAAAACTTATCTTGAATCTGCACCAGCGATTGTCACATGCCGCAGGTGGTTTCGCCGATTCGAAGGTGGCGATTTTGACTTACAACTTTTTAGCTNNGATGGGAAAAGAAAGCTTAAAGATGAAGACGTGCTGAAACTCTTAAATAAAAATCCAAATATAACACAAGCAGAAATGGCTAGACATTTTAATGTTGCAAACTCGACTATTTATAGACATTTGAAAGGCATGACACAATTTCAAAACCAAAGAAACCACTTTGACTTGGCTAGTCAAACTGGTAGTCATTTAAACGTAGGTCGGACAAAAAAGGTTATAACTGAAGACTTGAAGAAACTCTTAAACAAAAATCCAAATATATCACTAAGAGCAATGGCGAAACAATTTAATGTTTCACATATGACCAATGCGAGATATTTAAAAACCTTGAGATTAAACCAAAGAAACCACTTTGACTTGGCTAATCAAATACGTTACACTACTTGCATTTCACTGCTTTCAAGACACAATACGGAAAATTTTCTGGATCAAGTTGTGACTGGAGGTGTAATGTCGATATTTTACGAGACTTTAAATCAAATAGAAGCAACTACAAGTAATAAAAACGAACTTAAGATCTGCATTTGGTGGGATACTGAAAGTGTTATATACTACGAAATGCTGCGATCAAATGAAGGTGCATTTAACTTATATTCACAACAATTATATAAACTAAAGCAAGAATTGGACAGTAAACAACCGCAATTAACGAACAACAGACGTAAGGTGATTCTGTTGCACACATCTTTTGCCGAGATTAATATCCTTAAGTCCGTGAAAGAACAGATACTGGAGTTTGGTTGGGAAGTTTTACCTTACCCCGCGTCTATAGTAGACAGTGCTCCATCATATGACGTTTTTCCACACCTAGACGACACTCATAAATACTTGCTTTCAACATGTTTCGATGACGTCGAAAGAAGGTCAAAAATTATGATTCCTTTTTTCGACGCACATCTGTTTGCTCGTGGAATTTACTCACTACCAGAAAACTGGGAAAAATGTATACAAGGAAAAAAATCATTGTGAATTGAATTCAAATGTAGCATGTTTGTAATAACTGTGTGTTTGTTGCAAAAACTATTAAAAGTAAAGGTTTTTTACTATTGTTAGATGCAGAAATAATACAGAACAATTTGTATGTAGTATAGATATTTTATATGTCCACTTCTATTTACTCTATTGAACGATAAAACTCTGTTGTATGGTTTACACAACTTCCACAGGTAATTAAAATAGTTTTCAGACAGTACAATTTACAAACTAGATGTAAGTAAATGTACTATAACTTCTTAAATGTCATCTTAATGTTACGCATCAAATAATTCAACACAATCATTGTAACATCGGTATTTACGTAAAACATTTCCTAAAAGTTGCTATTCTCATAAGATATAAGTATTATAAGATACACATATTAAAGTCTTTATGTTTGTGTTGTACGGATTGTATTTATATAATGTATGTTCCATAAAATTGAAAAGAAGCAAAAGAAGGTGTAATACAAGGTGTAGTTTTGGTGATATAAGTTCTAAAAGCTACGAATTGTTTATGATACTAATAAGTTTGAGATAATTACCTTTGTTTTTAAGCATAAACAAAGATATATAATTATATTTTTTATGTAAATGTGATAAAATGTAATGTAACGTGCACTGTACTATCTAAATTTCATAAAATAATTATTTTTTTGTTACATAACCTATGTCAAAATATATTCTGTAAGGCTGTTGAAAACAATAGTATCTACCAGATTTATTAGTTTACTTAATATTTGCTACAATGAATTAAAAGTTATATATATATATATATATATATATATATATATATATATATATGTAGTAGGAAAATAACCAACAACAACTTTTTGTCGCTGATGTACTTTAATTTTTACAACTACCAGAGTATATTTATTAAGAGGGTACTATCTATACCGACTATAGAGACCTGTAAATCGACGTTTTAATATTTCGTTTTGTGCCGTATTTACTGCATCAAATCCAAAATGCTTCTACAGAAATAAGTAAATTATGCTAAGAGTTTGCTGTTGTTCTTTGGAATGTCAAAATTCAGCATAAATTTTTTCTTATACAGTTTTCTTCTATAACCTCCCCATATATTCATGTATATAAAATTATTTCTAAGCTTATGTACGTACTTACACTGAACTACAGCAATACGTACCACACAAAACAATCTAATGAAACAGAATATGATTTGGTTGTCTAATTGATGCACAAAAAGTAATATTGTGATGATGTGTATTTGATACCATATACTATTATTATGAATGAAAAACAAGTTCAAAAAAGCATTATATACCCATTTTTAAACGCTTTATATAGTTTTGTATATTTTTTTGCTTCTGTAGAAGCGCTTTTAATGTTGAGCAGTAAATAAAATTAAAAAATAAAGAAATTTAAGTTATAAAAACGTCGGTTTACAGGTCTCTATCTAGTTTACAAGCCGGGCTCCAGTACCCTCTTAAGTATATTTCATACATTGATCAGTATTTTGGCACAGAAAATTTTTAGTGACTGTGACGCGTTAAGTGTACTTTTACATTTCTTTTCATGTTTAGTTTTGACGTGAGTAATCAAGTGAGATTTTTGATTATTTAAAGTGCCATGAACTGTTACACACGCGTTTTGTAAAGATCGATCGGTGTATATGATTCAAATTGTTATAAGTGTCGACGTTATGTAAATTGCATATTATACCTGTCAGAATTGTCGATTTGCTAAAGTCAATTATTCGTAGACCAATTATTTTAAATGAACAAATGAATTTTGGCTATTGAAGCAATAACACTGTTGTTGGAGTGTATATATTTAAATTCGTTTATTAAAAATTTGATAGCATAAACGCTTTCGACCTTGCATTAGGTCCTTATCAAATGCATTTCTACAATGAATTAACGTAGAATACAATTAATGAAATTTAAAAATAATTAAAAATTGCAGAATAAATATAATATACAACAGTCACTTACAAATGTCTTAGATAATATACGTCGCTCAGTGCTGATCGAGAATATCCATGTTGCACGGGCTGTCCCGACCAACACTTTACAAGAGTGAAAACGCGACTGAGAAACAGCGTGTGTATAAAGATAGAATTCAAATTTACAAATAACATAACGTTTTATGATGTTTTATCGACAAACGGTAAATAGGAATTATCTAAATTTTCCGTGTCGCACTGTAAATTAAGTCCGCAGACTTGACTTCTTATATGTAGCATTTCTGATACCAACCTTTTGCTGTATGATCTCTCAAAATCCAATATTTCTATCTTATCCCACTCAAAATCATGTGAGTATTGCAATCTGTGTTCAGTTATTACAGATTTTTGAGTGGAATTTCTATTGATGTGGCTTTTATGTTCCTTTATTCTGGCCTGTAACATTCTGCCAGTTTGTCCTACGTACGAGGCTTCACATTCACGGCACTTGATCTTATATACTACGGAAGGATGTGAGAGAAGAGGCAAAGGATCCTTAAGAACATTGATAAAGTTAGCCAGTTTGTCGAGGTTATAATAAGCTAAACGCGTATGTGAGTCTGTAGGAAATATTTTTTAAAATTTCTCTGAAAATTTGTTGATGTAAAGCAAGACAAACCAGTGACGCTGTATGTCATTAGAACTCTTGCTAGACAAAAACCTTCTTATGTCATTGTTTTTATAAAAATTCTGTTTTAGTCTAAGGATAAAATTATCATATATGAAGTCCATCGGATAATTATTGTCAATTAATAAATTAAAAATGAAGTCAAAATTTTTAGAATGGAATTTAGGATGTGATAAAAAGAAGGCTCTGTCCACGAGGCTGATGACCGTGCCTCTTTTTTGGCAAATAGGATGGTTGGAAAAATAGTTGAGGTATCTACCAGAAAACGTAGGCTTATGATACCAGTCGTGTATTAATCTGTTTTTTTTTTTAATAATAGTAATGTCCAAAAAATTGAGTCTATCCCATCAACCTCCATGGTAAATTGAAGTCGTGGGTGATAAGTATTGTACAGATTTAAAACAGCATCAAATTGCTCTTTAGGAATCATGAGACCTATGTCATCAACGTATCTGACATGTAAAGGTGGACGGAAGGAGAGAGATTCAAAAATGGATATTTCAAGATCCTGCATTACAATGTCTGCAAGGATCGAAGAGAGGGGAGAGCCCATAGGAGCACCAAAGGTCTGTTTGTAATATTTGTTATTGAACAGAAAAAAAGTAGAGTTGAATACCAGGTTGATTGCTAGAAAAAATTCCTCTTTAGGTAAACTTGTATTATGTGGTATTAAACACCATCTCTTTTCCAAACCACTAATTACAAGTTCAATGGGAATGTTAGTGAAAAGAGATACAACGTCGAGTGGAATAAGCTCAAAATTTTCAGCGAAGGTTACGTTAGAGATTAAACTAGCAAGGTGGAAGCTATTATAAACAAAACTCGACGGGGGTTGAAGATTTTTTGAAATTATTTTATGTAAACATATTGCAAGGTTGTGTAAAGGACTATTAATTGAAGAAATAATGATCCTGAGAGGATTACCGGGTTTATGGATCTTTGGGACTCCATAGGCTCTAGGAAGGATAGTTAGAAATGTATTTAAATTTTTGTAAGTAAGTTCCGTGATGTAATCGCGAGACTTTCATTTCTTAATCACCTCTTTGAGACAATTTAATATAGAGTTCACTGGGTTCTTTTTTACAAGAGCATACGTGTTAGTATCAGAAAGCATCTTTTCCATTCGATTCGTGTACAAGTCTCTATCTATAGCAACAACCGCATTTCCCTTGTCAGCTCTTGTAAATGCAATAGAAGGATGATTTTTTCTAAACTGACGAGTGAGTTTTTGAGCTTGGATGATATCTCCGTTGTATGTAGTATTATTAAATTTAGAGCCTCTCATATGTTTGAGAGTGGAGACAAATCGATTACGGCATTTTATTTTATTGTTATTCTTTAAATGTTTAATATTATTTTCGAAGCTGACGTTATGTGAGTATTGCAAGGAACAGTACTTATTCTATTGCAAAAAAAGTCACTTTTCCACATTTTACAGATATAGAAAAAGGTACTCTGGAAAGCATCAAAAGTGCGTGGCCACATTGTAAATATAGGGTAAGTCTGAAAGAAAGATGGACCACTCTTTTTGTAAACTCGAATTACGTAATAAATACTAGGGCAAATGAAACATTATTTATGTATAATTTGCTACATGTTGTGAACTTATGATTAGCATATGTATTGAAACAAAGAACATAATAATTTTTTTAAAAAGTGAAATAGAAAACTTACACCACTGTTCGATCTATCTATATCTCCTCGAGTGAGGTGGATCACCGTGTAGAAAATAGATGCATTTTTACAAAAATACAATTTACTTTTTTTTTATAACAAGGTTTTTTACCAAAAAAACATTATTATCTTTACTTTTAGGTATACTTTCCTTATTGTTTTACAAGTATGCATTGTTATTCTTATTCTCACTTTACAATGTTCTTCACCTCATTTTTTCTTTTTAAATAACACCTGTAATTGTTCTTTGACCCACTTGTTTTTTTCCGGCATATTTGCGGTTATATTTTGTAGGCATGCTGAAAAAGCCGATACATCTAAGTGTTTCGACTATCTCCAATTCCTAGTGGTTTATTCCATTTTCAGGAATAAATGGACCACATAGTGCAGTAATTCCAAGAAAGTATTTGACAATTTTTACATAGGACACTTTTAAAAATGTTGCAAAATACTAGAATATATCAAAACACTTATGAAAATATGTATATAGTTAAACGTTTTAGAAACAGAAATTGTATAGAGAGATAGAATGTTTCACTTGAAATTAATTATACAAAATATTCACCTGTTAGTAAAATGCGATTTCATAAGTGCGTCTCTGCTTGTATGTACGCACTTAGAAATACACTCATGAAACCACGCTGACATCTCACAACCCAGCTAGCAAACTTACGTGATAATGTCGTGATTGTTATGTGACTTTAATGACTACGACGGTAAGTAACATAAATGGTATGTTATTTTGACGTCATTTAACATACCAAAAGTTGTCGTCGCCGATATGACGTCATATATCAACTTATATATTGAATTTCAATATGACATCAATAATACGGTTAAATGACGTTCTAACAACAAAGCTGAGTAAAATTCACCCGTTACTTATAATAATATGTTTCATAATAACGTTTGTTTTTTTTAATAGTATTATATCTTTAAATACATTGTTTATAGGGAAGTATAGCTATTTAGTTATAGATAAGTAGCCACGTACAATTTAGTAAAGTGATTACTTTTGATGTATTAAATTTTTTTCCGATTAAAAATAACATACTATATAATAAATATATATTCAATGATAACTAAAGTTTAATGTAGTAATTTACCTTTTATAATAAGAACAATTTGTAGTAACTATTTCTTATTATTAAATAATAAATGAAATGTGTAGAATAGTTGAGAATAGTTCAAGAATAAGTAAAGAAAAATAATTACAAACATGAAATCTTTGGTCATATATGCCAAAAATAATTATATTATAGTAAGGAACAAATATGGGGAGATCTGGAGTTTCAAATCTCACCACTAGCTTAGGATTTTTTCCGGGCCCGATCTTTTATCGAATTAATCAGTTAGTCGACAAACTGAGTCTCCAAATTTAATTCAAGCGTAATTCCGAATTAATTTTTCTTCAAGAAAGCTTTCTATAAATTTTGTTTTTTTTTTTATATATCACCGTAATATTACTGTGATGCATTTCGGCGGTAAGTTTACTATTACTGTAATGCAGTAATATTACGTGCTACGATGCTATTGTTTTTTAAGTATTGTCTTTCAATTTGTTTTTAAATTTACACTAAAATGTTTTTATCATGTTATTTTGTTGAATCTTTTGTGATTATATTCACGTCTACTTGACGTAATATAAAAACGCCACTAAGATGTAACATAATCACGTGGTATGTACGTTAAAATCACGTCAATTTTGTGTTATAATTGACGTTTTGCATACCAAAAACTGACGTCATTATCACGTGAGCTTGCTTACTGGAAAGATTACAAGAAATACGCGCGGTCCGTCTCTCGTCTATCTACCTTATATGAAAATTATTCTCTTTTGTTTGTCTTTCTGCCTTCCTCTATTCTTTTGCTAAAAATTAGTGTAGTATATCACGCAGCAGTCTTAGTTATGTTTTTCGGAGTCAAATGACGATGATTGAGGCGTGAGTTGCCAGTTGTTTGGGAAAGCGCGCCGTGACACCGGAAATGAATTTTCAAACGGAAGGTAGACTAACTATATTTCTATATTGAGAGTTTTTGGTCGGCTTCTTTATATGTTTCTTGTCACTACNTTNTNACTTCTCTCGCTTTGNTGCTTTTGCTTCATACACGAGAATTCTGTGCCGCGTATCTAAGATAAATGTCGCACTTTGTTATGTTTCTCTGCATTATTTCTCCATGAGTTTCCATCCGCGATCAGATTATTAGTTACTTTTGTTATGTTGCACTCAACAAGTCAAAATACAGGGTTGGAAACTTGTAGGTAGCGATATGTATTCTTTTCTAGAGTCATTCGGAGTTTAGACAAAGTCGATGATAATGCAGGATATGATCGTAGACAATGAAGAATAAATATTCGAGTGAATAAGTTTTTGAAAATGCTCAAAAACATTATTTGACAAATGTAGAAGTCTTGGCTGGGCAACTATTTTTTTGTATTATTTTATGTATGACTACTCTGAGAATATTTTATTTTATATATTTTATATACTTTTTTATTTTATATACTTAAGTACTTTCNTTCTATGAATATAAAACAATTTCTCTGAATTCAAGTTTTCATAGACACTCAGAAAAATTCTCTTACAGGGCACCTTTATAAAACTATTAAAAATAAAGAAAGAGTAAATAGGGGACAGAATAGAGGAGCCTCTTNNGGCTTCTTGTTCACAGATAGTAATAAGATTACCTTCCTGAGTAACAATATGAATGTTTTATTCGTCGCTCATTGTTTATAAAAAAGGTATGATCAAAAAACGTTTCATAAATAAATCTTTTTTTCCGACAACATGTTCATTTTTTGTGTGGTGAAAGCATGTAGGCAGGGGAGGCTGCGTCCTCCCTCAAGTGGAGGGGCTTCGCTTTTTTCTTCTGCTCCCGCTTCGAAAATATTTGAAACCGACTTCCGATTACAGATCGCTTCATGTCGTTAGTATGTATGTGATTTTTAACGCCACAGAATCAAAAGTCATTTTTTATTTTTTTTCGAGGGATGAGCAGAGGCGAAGCCCTTTCACCTGCGGAGGGGGCTTCTTTATTTTGCATATTTTCCAAAAAAAGTATTACAAAACCACAAATAAACAACAATAAACAATAGAAAAGTAATTATAACAAAAAGAAACCGAAAATTACGAATGAAATAGAAATACATCTCATTTAATTGAAAATACATATTTAATATTTAAAAAAGAAATTGAAGTCTTGGCGTTTTCTAAACTTGTCCTATACATTTTGCTGTCACTTTTCTTTTATGATTTAATTGCTTTAACTTTACTCTAAACTGATTGTGCTCTTGTTTGCGCTTTGATCCTAACTCAAAGTGTTTTGTTATATTTAATAAAAATATACTTATAACAAAAAAACTGAAACAAAAGATTGAAAAGAAAATACATGCTTAAACTTCAACAAAGGAAACAAAATACAAACTCAGGTTACGAATACTAAAGATTCACGTGATTCGTCTGTGACTGTCACGCAAGATAACAGCGACAAATGGCCTCTAGGTGATGGACAAAGACGATTCCGATACCGTATTTTGAAATTTGCCAGGCAGTTGGATTTAGCGCTTCAAAGTGTACGGTTGTGGTGAACTGAAACTATACTAAGTTTGAATTTTTTTCCTCATGAATTTTTTGAACAAGGAGTACACGCAAACCAACAAATCGTGGACAATATATATTCTTGACTTCGTAGACTTCGCAACATACAGTTTTTTTCTTTTTTCAATAGAAACCGTTACGAATTTGTGATTTTGATAATAATTTGTGTATTGCTCGTCATTATTTACGTGCGTGTTGTCGATTGCAGGTCAGTTACGTGTAGTGATTTGAATTCAACTTTCTCTAAAGCAAAACTTAGAGTAAAATAAAAAAGACTTAAAAGTAAGTGGTTT